TTCAGTTACAAAAAGGCATTTAGTCCAAAACTGTAAAGAAACATACCAGTGAACCGAAAGATCCGCCCAATACTTCGCACGACTGCTCTATATCTTCATGGAATAAAAATTTTATCGGAATCCAGCTACTGATCCGATCGGTTAACGTGCCTGCTCGTGAATAGTCAGGACGTTGACCGATCAATCTATGTAATCTGGGAGTAGAGGCTAATCATCATGTGGTGGGATCGGGGGTTAGATGGGCGTTTTATAAGACAGTTTCCGACTAAATTACTTCACAGGGTTTGTTATCTCATTACGTGCAGTACAGTCGGATACTGTAAAGAGATGTAGCACTTGAGGTAGCACGAAACAGCCTCTACCGGACAGCTTACCTTCCATTATTTTGAACCCCTAAGTATCGAATGCGTCCATTCAGTGACTGACAAAACATCTATTTGGAACATGCATTGTGTACATGAACCTTACCTCATTCAGTTACAAAAAGGCATTTAGTCCAAAACTGTAAAGAAACATACCAGTGAACCGAAAGACATTTATATTTGGTGGCATGTCAGTCCAACACTTCTTCTGTGGGAAGAATTAATATTACATTTTCCTACACCAGCCCTGCTCGGATTGAGAAAGTACTTTTTTAAAAACATTTGGTCGAGTAGTGTCTGGTTTTGTGGCACTTTGTAAGGGGAACAATGCACGTATCGCGGTAAGGGATCCTGGATGTGATCAAAACACGTAATCAGGAGATGGCTCACTTAAAACAACTCAAATTTTGCATTCACTTTTACAGACAGTCATTGATGTCAACGAATCTGACTTTAGATGCATTCGGAATGCGATAAAACTCTTGAGATCCACCCCAGTATCCCTTCCGTTGGGTGACATTTATAGTGTTTTTCGGACAGAAAGGTAGGACTTCATGTAGAGGTGTGTTTACTACTGAAGGGTAGCTGAATTTAGTTAGACTGTCAAACCCAATGCCCTGCATGCTCCGAACAATTCATCCTGATGAAGCAATTTCACTAGTTGCTCAAGTGAAGTTCACAAGCATGAGACTCCAAACCGAAAGCTGTGAAGGATACTCAGGAACCAGAAACTCTCGGCCTACCTGTCGAGTCTTCCAAGAAGTGCATCTAGACATGTCATATCAACGGAATAGGACGTGATCACCTGTTTTTTCCAACTTCTCGTCTAACTTTGTACTCAGCTTAAAACGGAATATTTAATGTTTCATAAATCTAAACAACAGCGTAGGCTGATTGGCCCCACGGGCATCATACAACACATACTGCCTTGAGAACCAGACCAAGCACAGCGCAATAAAACTGACTTTCCGTGAACTAACTCCCTGAATCAATGGGCAGTCGGTAAACTCGCGACGGTCACATGTTAACTTAACTAGATAATCCATCTCCGATAAGAGGTGCGCTTTAGTTGTTAACTCAAGCCCGGCGAAAAGGATACGACAATAACAATTTTTGCAAACGTATTCTTTGTTCGATAATTTGAGTCGTTCATTGAGCAAATTTCGACCGTAGTAATTACGTATATTTGGGTGCATCCTACACGACTTCTACAGNTCAACCGGATCGCTGAGAGGCTGATATGATTCCAGTACGATGCAGCTCTCTTTGTGTTACCGCTTGGTTTTTCACAATCGATCACTCGAGACGGATCCAGAAGACAGTCCATCAAGTTTATCTGATCCAACCCATTTGAATTTATTCTCCCGGACTATACAGAACAGAACGAGCTTGAAACAGACAGAAAAACCCATCATCAGTCTAAACGTGCACCTTACAGACAGGGCTAGCGAAGATCGTTTACGAGGATCACAGCACAGATTTACGGATCCGTCCAAATATTCGACAAATTTCGCCAAAAAATGGTTTCCTTGCCCTTTTGTTTCATGAGATCAAGGACATCCGACAGGATATCAGGACACACACTATCAAAAATTATCGTCTGCAAGTAAACCAAGGTCATAAAGGAAACTACTCACAAGGTTGCCGAAAACTGTTCCACAGCCCACGGCCGGTTTCGCCCTTCTTGGGGCTCATCAGATAGGCGCGGTCCCCGAGTTTCGTCAACCTTATGATCTACAATTGAGTCTCCCGGAAAAACCAGAGTGTTTTGCAAATGAGTGTATTTCTCGTAAACCAAGGTCACTTTTCTCCACCTCATGTAGAATGTGCGAGATTCTCACTGTGCTATAATAAGTAGGAAAGTTGACCACTGAAATGTCGATATAGGCATAAAGGCACAGTAATAGATTAGCATATCCGTCTGCGGTTAGCACGCCCGTAAATCCTGGGTATTTGAGACTTGGCACACCACGTAAGGCAGGTTGTTGCTGATGCTGAGGCGGTTTTATTTTCTAAACTCTCCATGTTGACCCAAACTCCTTATCTTCAGTTTAACATATACTAACTGGACCTTTCCGAATTTATTCGCGACACCCATGCGTTGGTGAGGACCAACAGAATTTGTGATTTGAGTGGCATCAGTTCCGAACACTAACAATGTCAACTAAGTAAATACCAAGATCACCCATGGCCATGTTGTTGCTGTAACATGGTTACTTGTGTCATCTCTACCTGAGAGCAAGGTTCTACAAACTGCACACCAGAACTGGTGAGCATAAAAGAAGGATTAACAAACCACCAAGGAATGCAGAAGAATACCAAACGCTGGTCAAATACTCAGCGATGGCGGTACATGGCTTAGACACGGGACACAGAATAGATCTGGGGAATGTGGAAGTTTTAGGACGGGGACTGCAATTCACAACACAGCGGCGGGGCGGTGTAAATTACTAAGCACCACAGCGTGAATAGAATCGACGGTGTGGAGCTAGCGAGCGTATGGAAGGCGGTCTTAGATAAGCCGAGTTGACACGTGACGGTGTGGTTGTCAATCCACTCAGGATCATTAGAAAAAACCGGGGGATGGGGGTGGAAATCCCAACCGACCAAAGGTCACAGCATCCCTCTTACACAACTATCTTAGCACTATATCTTTGTAATGTACTACTCATAAGGTTGCTGAAAATCCATTCACAGCCCACGACCGGTTTCGCCCTTCTTGGGGCTCATCAGGTAGGCGCAGTCCTCGGGGTTCCGTCAACCTTAGCACTAGCTCACCCACACAGACTGACAGAAGGTTCAAACGAAGTTCAAGGGGAACCATCAACTGAACCAGAAGAACTAGACCCTAGGCTGTACCCAAACACATGTAGGTTTCCCCACCGACCCAACACCTGTTCAACTAATCTAACACTAAAATCCATCGGCTGACACCCAACAGAGATTTAGCTTGACTTAGCTGACTGGGTCTCCTTCCGCCTTAAATCTCGACCAACCTCGGAACCTAGTCGCTTGGCCTGACGAAGCTTTTGTGTCAGAAGCGAAACGTTGCCCAGCAATAGATCTACCGATTGTCACCAAACTTTTTCGAAAGAATTCTACATCTCTTGGCACATCTGCTTCTGGTTTACCATTTCATAAGCTGAGGACAGAGGAAGAAATTCGTGGTGGCACCTACATAACCCCGCGTCGTGCAGCACATTGACTACATTTATCCCTATCTAAACTAGCAGTGTTTGACTGCTTGACATGGAACAGGTGTCCGTTTCCTTACTTTGGTTTATCTGAAGGAGATAAGCGTGACAGCAAGCGTGGGATGATTGCCAGGTGCAGTGCAAATATCCATACTAGAGTACACTTGCGCATCAACAAATTGTTCTGGAGACCACTCCAACTCTCATCGTCCACTGCAAGCTTTCCGCCCCAACAATTCCACTCCACTCAGACTGTCGCCAAAATGTTGTACACCATTCGACTGAATTGAATTAACCACAGCTTTTTGCCGCGAAGTCCAGGTAAAAGAAACATGATCACTCTCTGCCCCCAAGCCTCCTTCGAGGTGCGCGGTAGCTATGCACCAAAAGGGTGCTCCAGCGAAGTGATTTAGTAACAACGATATGATGAATGGCTGTGCGAATCGTTCACGTTGCGGCGTTCGGTACCAGACTCCCGGGAGCCGATCGCTTGTTATGTCAACCAGCATTCTTGGTGGACATCCGGGCACACCACTAGAAAACTTGAGAATCTCACTCCGATCGATAGTGTCACTTCCAATTCAATCATGTTTGATCACCACATTTCCCAATGCCATCTTCAAAATAGTCAGGTAACCCCGACAATCCTGTGAATCTCTGGCAACTCATGAGTCATATGTTGATTTGCTTTCAAGAAATCGGATTTTTCTGAAAGCACCTTTTCACAATACCACAGCAATTAATTGGTCCAATGAAGTCAAGTTACCCACAGAAGACTCGCACAACGTTATCATAACTAAACCTGGCGTCTGGTTTACTCAAGCACACGTCAGTGCCGTGAGTGGCTTTTGAAAGTGGTACAATTTAAGCCGCCACCAATGTAAGGGTCACTCGTGATACTCCTGTTTGCTGGTTCACCCTAACAAGTAATTTGGTGTAGGCCAACGAACTTTGATTTATGTGATAACCTAGCACAGCAAAGACCACTTCTTCTTGTTCTCTGTGGATCTTCGCGCCTGAAGATAATGCAAACAAGGATGCAGCCATCCGGAAAGTTAAGATGCTACCCACTAATTGGAGGTAAATTACGATTGGAGGGCTATGAAGTGTCCTTAATGTCGAGAAGAATCACGTAAGTGTCCCTATGTGTTCAGCATCTCTTATTCAGAAGTTTCACTGTGTTCACAACAAGTCACGTGGAAACCATACCAGGACACGCCGTGGGATACGTCGGTCAGCGGTCGACAGACCGGTGACTGAATGACTGCGATTTGTTTTACTAGCCCTGACAATTGTATTCCGATCTGTCGGTTCCAAAAAGGTGTAGCGCAATGCCAACCTGTGAGTTTAACACGCATGAGGATTCCCCGAAAAACGCTGTCATCCGCCCAAGCTGATTTCGATGGATAAGGAAAACAGAACCACCATAAACTATTTAAAAAAACGTCAGAGTATTATAGAAAAAAGAGTGAACAGGAATGGTATAAAATCCATAAGGGTGGGTGGAAGGAATGGCAAGCGGGAGAGTTGGGGGTGGGTTGGAATTGAGCACAACAAGCTACTAGAACTGGTAGAAAAAGAAATGCGAAAATTTGTGGGCTCCAGTACATGTAGACCTGAGCTAAACCAATATCAAAAGACCGCTCTCTTATAGGGTCATGAGAGGCGGATTGTAGCAGAATTATCCTCACCACACACACGCACACGAATGAACAAACACGATAAACTGTGCGGGGGCTGTGAAGGTCAAAATAGTTGCGGGAAATGTCACCGGAAAGTTGCCACATACAATAACTGACTGTGACCTATGAGGAATGTGAGCAAACAGGTTGGATTTGATGTGATAAAACAAAAGTTCCAAACCGGCAATTCAAAACAAGGGGATTTGTCATCAGAGTCACGTTGAGATTGCCATTTTATAACCAAGGGAATATTTACGTGACCACAAACAAACAAACAAGTTTCCTTGATTATGAAACAAAGAAACCAATGTGCCAGAAAGTCTGTCCAAATTTATAGAAAAAAAAAAGAAATCAAAACATGATGGCGCTTCGCAAATGCTATCTTTCTCCGCTGAAGTTGGACGGATAACTTTGATGTCGGATCGTCCTAACATCTTTGTTGGCCGCGACAGCTGGACCTATGCACATTTTTACTGGTAGAATTGTCAATACAATCAACATGTCCTCAAGTGAAAAGTTTGTACAGAGAATGAGTTACAAAAAACGACCGGTTAAAAGGGTAAATAATTAAACACCTAGGTTCACTATGATTTCTAATGAACGGTTGAATGGAAGACATCCGGCACAGACTGCAAACGCCACAGGTGCAACAAAAAAAAACGGATTCACCAGGGAGGATGCCAGGAATGCAAAAATTTGGTGAAACACACCGGAAGGTAGGAAGAAGGAGAATAGCAAAACGGTAACAATAATACTATCACTAAAATAATGGTAGAAAAAGACCAGGGTATTTTAAAAATAGCCGTGGGTGTGGTCAGGTTTTGTAGGGCTGTCGCCTGGTTGAATACCAAGAACAAGTGACTGAAAGTTGAGGCAGTAGTCCTTGACATGGATTGTGATAACTTTGTTACTACGAAAAATAGAAAAAAATACCGATTTGAATAGAAAAGATAAGGCTGGATAGAAAGGGTTCACCCAAAATCACTGGCTGGGTGTATGTGGGGAACTCCTAGTCACAGGTCTGTAATGCTTGACCAGCAGAGGTCGTGTAGTCCATCCAGTCGTTACCGTTCGGCGTACACTGCACGCCCACAACAGAAGGATGTGGTTGTCTGGATGGTTTTGTCAATCGCCGGCGTCCACGTGAAAAGTGTGCCAAACGAGGTGGTAACTGGTCAGCAGTAGGCTGTCCACCGTGGTCATTTCCTGCATCATACAGTTTGTTGACTGATTCGGGGCAAGGATCATCGTTTTCCTCCTGGGTATCTGATACTGATGACAGTCCACTGACTACCAAACGGTCCATATCACGATGATTCGCGTAACTCTCGATCACTTCAGCAGAACTGGAAGATTTTTCGTCCAATGTTCTTTGCGACAACACTTCGTCTCTATCTCCTTCATCGTATGCTTCCCGCGCCCAATCAAACTGCTGTGTTTGTTGCTTTTCCTTGGGGTTTAATTGATTCCCGTTGGAAAATGAAGATTCTTCGTGCGATTGGTAGAAATCATGATGAGGATCAATGAGTTTGGGCATGTCCTCCAGCGGTTCACAGTGTTTTTTTGGTATCTGACAGGTGTTCTCCTCCAACATCGGTGTATCGGACCCATTCTCCAATTTTTCTGCACCGTTTTCCTTCTGAGTGCCCTCAGCAAGTCGGTATGGAGAGGTTTGTTCGTTCGAGAGTAACTTTCGGAGTGCTTTGACCTCAAGGCTGAGGTCAGTGAGTTCATTACGAAGCACTCGATTTTCCGTCTGTAGACGATCTGTGACCTCTGCTCGTCCCATGAGCCTCGCTCGTTTGTTTTCCCTGCATCGGCGAACGGCTTCATTGTTGCGTCGGCGTCGGTCCTGGTATCGTTTGTCGAGGATTCGTGAATCCGTTGGGCTCGCCAGTGTGCCACTAGCCACTGCGGTATCTGAAACGAGTATGACGCAAATAGGAGTTAAGATGCTGCCAGTGGCTGGTTTGATTTACATGACTACGACAAGAAAACAGACGAATGGCGCGCGGTCAATATAGAGCAAAGGAGGCAGAAACTAAGCCAACTATGTGCTACCTTCATCTTATAAATTTGCTACTGATATTTATTAAGTAGCAAAGAACACGTGCGTTAATTGTAGTGGTGGTTCGTGCGGGTCGCACACCACACTACCATTAGCGATGGTCAGTCTTCAGTAAATTCGTATCTTTGAGAAACAATAACGCTTGAGGTAAATCCAATATTCATGTTGTGACGGTTTCGATTACACAAATTAGGAACCAGTCAGCGCATCAGGAAATGTGTCTCACAAATTGTCGTTATCCCACCCAAAACTCATTCGGTGGTTCACAGTGACGGTGTAATGTATTGTGGAGGCGCCATGAGATTTTTTGTCCCTAATAAACTACGTTTAGGTAGGCCGGAGAAAATACCAGGTTATGCACCCCCGTTGAGATGCAGATCAGAGTTGGGGAGTTTTCAAAGGTATTTTTTCACGAACTGATTCGTATCGTGTTGTATTACCTTGATGGTGATGATGTATCACCTTATGCGGCCAGTCTAAGGTCTCTTGAACCCGTGAATCGCTCATTTCAAATTTCTTCTGTAAATAACTATCGTAATTTGGGATTTTTTTTTATTCGACTAGAAAATATTGGATCTCTTCCAAAGACAAAAAAGGGTATTATCTTCAGGACAATTAACTTCAAACATGACAATACGGGCTTAGTTGCCTCCGAATATTGTTAGTTTATAGCTCCGTACGTAGGACAGAAGACAAGTTCACAAGTTCGAGGAAGTAAGAACGAATATTACATTAGTGAGTAACAGTTAGGAGCTTTTGTGAAGATGTCCTACATCCCCGGTGTTTAAAGTACATAACGAGCACTTCAAGCATGTTTTTTACCCCACTAAAAGGCTGAATTGCATTCGAAATCCGTGCATGTATCTTCGGCTAAACTAGCGGTCAACCGAAGTCTGGTCCAGTCAAGAAGAGCTCAGTTATATCCTACGATAGTGTAATAGCTACGATCATACCAGAATCTTCGCGTGAGGGTCGATCAGTGAACATGGGTTGAAGACGCAGGAGCTTATTGTCAGGCGACTAAGCAAATAGTCAGAAAACCAGAAAGCATCCCCCTTCGTTCGCAGGAGTTTAGTTCCTACGAGAGACAGAGAGTTGCAACGCGGAAAACTCGTGTCTTCAAAATTACCTCTCCGACAGCTGGGGCATGGTAGTATGTTTGCTCCTGGTTGCTTTTGCACATGTCCAGGCCTAGGTTCGATCCCCACGTGACGGCCTTCAAACTGTCTGCCTGTCTAGATAATCTGCACACGTGTTCCTCCGAAAATAAAGACGTAAAAGAAGCTATTTGAAGGTTATTTTCAGTGGGCTGCCAACTTTGAAAGTTGGTGTCATTAGGAGAGCTGATACACTATCGTCATGTTATCCGACTCTTGGCTCGACCAATGTGTGTGTTTCGTTGTGTTGGAAGGACATGCTCGTAAAAAACGGCAATCAGGGCTGAAAACATGATGGAGGTTCACTACGTCGTACTGGAATGTTCCGGCCACGAAGATACAAGAGTAGCACAGTTCTGTCGGGGTTAATTGAAATATATAAAATATATATATATAATTCTGCCGCCATTGTGACTAACCTCCTCGTCGACTTGCGTCTGCTATGCATATCCGNATTAAAAAAAATATATATATATATATATTTCTGCCGCCATTGTGACTAACCTCCTCGTCGACTTGCGTCTGCTATGCATATCCGAAAGCTGAGCTGGAGCGATCTTATTCCGACATGCATCTAATTTGCCCACTCGACACAAGCATGACTTTTGTTCAGGAATAGGCCTGTATCAAATTGACCGGCATCATGGCAAAATAGGTGTAGGTTGCCATATGCATGTTCCATTCTTCTGGTAAACTGGAGGTTGACAGTCTGACTAAAAGTTTACCCGAAATTTCTATTAGATAGATGAATTAGTTGAAAGACGTTGTCTGTTCTCTGTTCCCTTCCAGGGTAGCCTTATAGGGGCTTCGGACAATTCAGACAGTTTATGTAACATAGGCGAAGTTTATTGTTGCTTCCATCAGTAATCCATGTGTGTTTTCACTAACCTCGTGGGTTCAGTTATCTTTCATTCAAATTTGAAGGACTTATAATGATGGGCGCCTGGTTAAGGGGCTTCCTTATCGAAGAGGTTGAGGAACTAGGCGCATATGGTCGTGCAGTTGAAATGCCAGGCTTGTCACAGTGGGAATAATGAGTGATTGAGATCTCATCAGGACCTGCTGCCTCTTGTTCAACTTTGTTTGGCAAGAAAAATGTTTAGATGTGTACGCGCAAGACAACGGACGACTAATGTCGAGTAAATTTTGTACTTTGGTCCTTTATCACGCTAAAACTGTGCACCAGACTAAGGAAAAAGCTGGACGGTGTTTGGCGGTAGGAGGAATGTAACATGCGAAGACTGAAGGCTCAGCAGGGTGTATCTCCGAACTGGAGATCAGAAACCGAGTTGGAGAGAATACCGTCGGTGTGAGAGGGATAAGAATACGAAAAGGACACCTTAACGGAAACTCTGAACTGACCATTACTCGCGACGGTTTATGTGCACTAAAACAAAAATTTGTCCAATCATGGATGTGATCGATAGAAGAGAGACTGAGCCTTCAGAAGTTAAGTCACTATCCTGGTAGCAAACGTCCCACAAGGCCACTGATCCAAACCGACTCTACTCCCCAATGGGGGGTAACAGTGCATCAGGCGTTTTTGCCATAACGGTACATAACTTCTATTGAACTCTGACTCAGACTGTTAGACATCCCCATGCGTATCGACCAAATCACAAGATGTCCCATAACATTTTGGCCATAACTTTGCTATCGAATGGAGAAAAACGATTTTAGGCAGCTGGTTGGAAACATAGAAGTAAATAGAAAGTAATGACATGAAAATACAGAGAAAAAACTGAAGCGATAAAATCATGGACCAGTTCCAGATCGAACGGTTGACAGTGTGCTGATCCGTGCCTACAGACACTGAAGCACCGAATATTACCAGTCATTATCACAAGTAGATGGGAGGTTGAGGTGTTTGAAAGGGTCGACGCAGCAATTCACAAACCTCTGAGGATGCTGAACTAAGCGACATTCAGTCGTGCTCCCAACGTGACTAACAGCCCGTTGGGTTTACGAAAGCACCAATTACAGAAAGGTACAAAAGTACACACTTCCAAATGCGACTTGTTAGCTGTTCTGGGGAGAAGTGTCAGTCAGGAGGTCAGCCCGAACACCCGTTGAAAGTACCGCGAAGTTTACTGGAGGATCTGACAAGAGACTACCGGAATACATCACCCATCAGTCGAAAAGTTAAACTGCTCAGAATAACCATGATTGCACCTTTGATTTGGTCACTTTACGCTAAGCTAGATCAAATATGGGACAATCGTACCCGCTCATAGCCCAGGACACGTCAACAATAAGCCCACCCATAGCTGAGCCAAGTGCGGTGCATGCACAAACGTTGAATCGGGTGCATGCCGGATCATGCATGGCCTTACTGTGCGGCTAAAAAGAAGTCCCAAGAGTCATTGTCTCAGGCCTCATCAAGGGCCATTCAATGGATTTGTACGTGTGCATGTCTGTTCTTAGTCTGGTTGGCTGGCTGGCGAGTAATACGAAGATGACTCATGATGGCCTCACTGGATTTTTGTTTACATAGTTTGAACACAGAGGAAGCAACCATGTCTGCCCACCATCTGGCTAAGGCTGTCATCTAACTCTGGGTTTCGGGTGGGTGGGTAAGTCGTCTAACGTATACGTAGCATATGGGCCTCATTCACCAGGCGTACGGGTATGGGTAATACAAGGAATAACACGCAAGTCCGGTCGGTAAACGACAGCTAACACGCGCGTCATCCCCCCGACTCCCGTCACACTTCATGCAGATTACTGTGCGCGTAGGTAGTAGGATGAATGAGGAAGTCGGCTCCGGATTGGTCACGCTTTGTGCGTCCGTGGTCGTGTCAGCAACTGGTCTAACAGGCAGTCCGTCCCGTCTGGCGCTGGGGTTGGGCAGACTTGCGCGACATGATGCGCAACGCCAGACAAAGTCGTTACTCATTCACTGACTAAACAGCCGTGACGGTGTGCCCGTGGTATGCACTCCGCCGCGCCGTGCTAAGCTGCGTCATTGTGTGCGCTGGCTGGTCGACTGGCTAACTTACGGAACCGGTTGGTGCAAAAGTACGGGGAAAAACAAGGCCGCTTGCTGACTCAGCTCTTATCCAGTGTTCACGTCGCACGTCGTGGTGGCGATGGTCGACCAAAGTTTAGCTAGCTAAGCGAACTTCCTCAACTGGGTAACCGTGTTGCCCTGCTTGCCACCCAGCTATTGTCCGACGGCATGCGCGTGCGCACACACGTGACGAAGTGACCGCAGTCGGTTAGCCACACTGCTGGTATGCCCAATATGCAGGTCGGTTACCTGATATGGATACAGACTCGACCTGCTTAAGCTCACAGGAGAGGTCCAATCTCATTTATCTGACACTGAGGCACAAGACTTCAGAATGTTAGCATGGTGCGCCCCTGGGATCGGTTGGAAACTCACATGGCCAACACTCATCCATAAGATCAATTAAATAATATTTTCGACAAAGGATTGTGATCAACGTATAGAGGAAAAATCATATACATCCAAACTCTCAGCAAAGAAATTCGTACCTTGTACCAGCCTTATTTGTACTTATCCTTCCAAAAACTTGATTACTTATCCTCAACATTCGATGTGTGTGCGTAGCAGGGGGGGCGTGTTCATTGTCGGTTTCACGTTATGAAAGAGAAACCTGTAAATCAAGGCGAGGCAGTCTGACCAAACCCGTGTTATTTCCCGTCGTCTCCTTGACCCTTATTCAATAAAA